AGGATCACTATTTTAAATGCAGCACATCCTTAATTACACTGAATTGACTATAATTGCATATTCAGTGCATACACCATAGTGTTAAGTAGGGGGAGCATTTTGAGTCAAATGTATTGAGGTATATAACACTTCAGTTTTCTTTTTATAAAAAGAAAAGCTGTATGTCTGAGTCAGGTAAAAAAAAATATCAGGTAGGTACTCATGACAAGGCAAAGAAACACAGAATCAATTAAGGTATTACTTCAGAGTTTATAATGCAGAGTAATTCCTATGACAGTTAGGAAAGCAAGTTTGTAAAAAGTTTGGGGTGTGTGTGTGTGTGTGTGTGTGTGTGTGTGTGTGTGTGTGTGTACTGTATATATGGAGTGCACAATCCTGTGTGGACATGTGGAAGTCAAAGATACCTCTACAGAAGACGGTGAATAGACTGAGAATTACCTGTATTTGTTCATTGCTTTATCTTTGCAACATGGAGTATACAAATCAAGACTCTCTCTTAAAATCCTTCTATCAAAGGCCAGACAACATGCAGTCCTGTAGGCCACCTTGGCCCAGTCACTGAGTTGACCAAGATTCTCAGCAGGAAGAGACAAGGAGGGTCCCTTCTCCTGCAGTGAATGCTGGGACATTCCTTGTTCCTGGAAATCCTTCTATCAAAGGCCAGACAACATGCAGTCCTGTAGGCCACCTTGGCCCAGTCACTGAGTTGACCAAGATTCTCAGCAGGAAGAGACAAGGAAGGTCCCTTCTCCTGCAGTGAATGCTGGGACATTCCTTGTTCCTGGAAGCCAGTGTTCCCACCCCCTCCCTTGTTGATCTTTGCTGTGGGAAAAACAAAAAAGAAGCAGATCTGGATCTCCCGCTTTATGAAACTAGAATGCCACTTGAAACTCATGTGATGTTTGGTTTTTAGCTCCAAATTACATAATTTTTCAAGATCAAGGAGTTCTGTAGATTGTAGTCTAACATTGTGCAGTGTCTCCACACAGGTTTTATTGAGGAGTGATAGAGACATAATTCCATGTTATAAGTCCTTGAAGAAGCATGATCTAGGGGCCTCCCCATTTCCTGAAGGAAGAGCCTTGGAGTTCCAAATATAAATACTACATTAATTCTGATGCAGATTTATATTTAGCCTTTGCATGTGTGAAAAGGGTTGCATAGGGGCTGAAGTCCTCATTGTAGTCTCTCTCTGCTAAAGAAAAGGTCAGCAAGCTCCTGTGGATTTTCAGACACTCAGGAGCACTTAGAGCTCACCTGACATCCATTTCCCTGCTCACTCTATTCAGCAAGGCAGACCACAGAACCAGCTGGGTAAGGGAAGGACATTATCTTTGGTGGCTTTGCAGATTCAGGACCTCTCCAGCAAGTATCATCACCTGGGCATGAAGGAAGACATGGGATAAAAGCTGAGGGGACCATTCCTGTCTCTTGGTGATAGAAAGCTCTTGGTAGTTTTTGATCCAGAATGGCCCCACACACCACAAATTGTTTTCATATCTGTGAATCTATTTAGTAGCCCAGAGTTCTAGGTCATGTTTAAGGCTTTAAAGTTCCCAGTATACTATCTAAACATATGGGGGTGGGGAGGAACTGGGGCATAGTAAGTGAAGGAACAGAGCAGCCACAGAAACCTGACCTAAAGATAGCCCCATCTCTTACTGGAGAACATCAAGGCCTGAGATTTTAAATGGTTTTTGCCCCTTTAAGCAGCTTCCCTTGGCTTTGGCTACCTTTACAAAGTGAATCCCGGATCACCAATAGAAACTTAATTATCAATTAATCGATTTCTATTGAGTTGCTGGTACAGCCCAGTTATCTGCTGTTCCTCAGAGTAATCTATAGTATTTTAGTGAAGAAAATCTCCTAATTAAAAGAAAAAAGAAAAGCTCCTAATTAAATAGCGAGCAAATGCTCATTAATACATCAAAATTAATGTCTAGAACTGAAACATTTTCTTAATTATAAGAGGCAGTAGGTTTAGTATTTAAAACTCTCTCAGTTTGCTAATTTATTACCATTTAAAATGAAGAAATTGTTGATCCATTGAGTAGAGCATTTTAGGGTGGTTTTTAACCATAAAAAACAATAGATAAAAGAATTTTTCAATTCCATGTGATGGGTGGTTGGCCTGAAAGAATAAAGTCATACAGAAGAATAACTGAATTTTTTGTTTATTCTTAAACAGTAAGTTGGAGAGCTGAGGGTGTAGCTCTGTGGCCGAGTGCTTGCCTAGCATGTACAAAACTCTGGATTCAATCTCCAGGACCATAAAATTTAGAACTTCCTGATTATTATAATAAATAATAATAATAGTAATAACAGAATTTCTAACTTTCCAATTATTTTCCTGGACTTGTAGCTATATACGAAGGTGGGTAAGAAGGGACTTTCTCTCACTTTTTCTTCTAAGGTATACTTCATTTTGCTTAATATACACTCCAGTCCCCATCATCTGCCCCAGACTTGCCAATTTCCAGCCCTGTCATCTGTACATTCAGGACCTAAGCACACTTTGCCCCTCATAAACTCTTTAAAAGATAGTTTAAATAATATTGGTTCCATAAACTTTTTTTTTTTTTTTTTTGAGACAGGGTCTCCCTTTAGCCCCAGCTGCCCTGAAACTCACTATGTAGACCAGGCTGGCCTTGAACTCACAGAGATCCACCTACCTCTGCCTCCGGAGTGCTGGAGTAAAGGCGTGTGCCACCACCCCTGGCTTCCATAAACTCTTTTTAAAAAAATAGTTTAAGCTGGGCGTGGTAGAGCACACCTGTAGTTCCAGCACTTGGGGGGCAGAGGCAGACAGATCTCTGTGAGTTCCAGGCCAGCCTGGTCTATATAGTGAGTTCCAGGCCCAGCAGGGAGACCCTGTCTCAAAAAGGCCGAAAAAGGAGAAAGAGGTGGTTTATGTAATATTGGTTCATACAGCCATGCTGATATCCCTTCCACCTTGGTTGGCTCTTATTTGTTCAGTCACTCAGTTATTATTTATTAGCTGTCTATTTTGTGTGATGTTCAGTCTACCACGAGTAATACACTGTTAAAGAACAGGGTCCCCAACTGCAGAGAGCCACAGCCAAAGGCTGATGTTAGCTGCACAAGCAAATGTTAAGGTGCAGCTGAAACTATTACAGCTGGTACTGTATGGGCAAAATATCAACTATGATGAGATTCTATGGTAAGAGCATTTCATCTTGATATGGCTATCAGGTTGGGTCTCCTGAGGGACTGGTGGTAAGCTCACGTATAAAGGATGTTTAGGAGTTAACTGGTGAGTGGAGGTAGAAGGAGCATTCCAGACAGAGGAAATAGGATATGCAAGATCCCTAATGGGAGGATACTTGGAATATCTGGAGAACTGAGAGCAGACTGGGACACTGGTACCCAGGGAGAACAGACCTGCTGAAGTTGGGTACAAGCCAGATGATGTGATGTCCAACAGGCAATGTTAAAATTGTTGATCTTAAGAGTAAGGAGGAAGCATTAAGTGTTTTAAGTAGAGAAGGGCATGATTGTATTTTCATTAAAGGAAAAAGAACTCCTCTGCAGTGTGAACAGCTGACCTGACAGTAGTGAGGGCAGGTAGAATGGGTCTAGTTCAGAAGCCATTGTCATAATGGCCAAAACGAAGATTATACTGGTGGAGACAGAAAGACTGAGGGTCGGTCCAGGAGATAGCAAATGAAATGACTGGAATTGGAGATGGAATGTATGGAAGGGCTGAGAGAGAAGGAGGAATCAGTGATGATACTTAAGATTTTTAACTTGTATACCTAGAGAAATGTATAGTCATTCTCTAGGACATGTAGTCTTATAAGGTCAAGAAATGGGCAGATGGATCATTTTGAGTCAGATCTCTCAACCTTGTGGATGGAAATACAAATGTGAGTGTAAATTTAATAACAGATATCACAGGAGAAAGATTGCCAGGGAGGGTATGACAAGTGCGGCCTTGGTAAATCCTGACATTGATGGCCAGGCATGGATGGTTCTGCAAAGGAGGCATAAAAGCTCTGGTCTGCAAGGCAGACAAAACCCAGGGAGCTGAGTATGTAAGGAGAGGGAGGGATCCTCAGTGCTTAATTGTCAGTGCCGTGGATTACTGAATCATATTTTTAAAAATCTTCCCCTTGAGTTTGAACCTAAAGAATAGTTGCCAGATTGGCACTTGTCTTTCAATAAGCTGGTTACTAAGATATTGATCTGCACTCTCTTTTTAATCTTTCACCCAATAATGACAAAGTCTAAAGAGGAGTTTGGGACATGCTTGTTCTGTCCTCAGAGACTAATATAAACGAGTTCATTTAATCTTTGTAACAGTTCTGTACAATAGGGACTTTTTCTGTTTTCTATATGATAGGGACTTCTCTGTTTTCCAGATGGGGAGAATAAAATAGAGATTAGCTGAATCTCTAAATTCAGAAAGATTGTAGGAATTATATAAGGTACATGTGCATTCAAGACCTAGTTTGATGAAGGCATTTGAGTGTGTGCTCAGGTGCCTCCCCATGAATTCTCTACTAATTCACCACTTCCCGCTGCTTCTCTGCCCAAACAAAAATGCACAAACATACAGGCTTTTTAATACGTCATAGTGTCTTAGTGTGACTCTAACATTTATTATTCCACATGAAATTCATTTCATAGGACTTGCTTACTAGAATCATTACACTTTATGTCAAGAATGAGACATTGAAAGTTTTGTTTTCCTTATGATATTACCTAAGCTCCATCTTCATGTGCACATGTGGAACATGGTGTCAAGCTGAAATGATAAGGTTTGCTTCCCATTTTTGAATGTCTGTGCACACAACAGAGCCTAGTAAAACTGGAGCCATTTTATTCAGACTAGTGTTCTGGCCTGCCCAGGGCTATTTGTCTGTTTGCACAGATATCCTTGCTATTGTCATGCCAGTTTTGAAATGACACACTGAAGTTTCTTACCAGCTTGTTTGCCTCTAGACCCACCTTTACTCTCTGGCCATATTTTATTCCAGACCCTGCTGAGAAATTCCTCAGGCTGTGAAGTGCGCAGCAATGAATATCGAACAGAATTTACCACTGCTTTGCAGCGTGTTGACTTATTCATGGGCCAATTCAACCACGTGCTCTTAACATCTATATCTACCTTCATTAAAGGTGACCTCACCATTGCAAATCTGGGGACGTCAGAAGGTAGATTCATGCAGGTAAGTGCCTCCTGAGAGTGTCCCTCTCTACTTTATCTGGTGTTTTGCAGTTAATTTGTTTTTGGTTTTGTTGTAAGATATTTGGAAATAAAATACAAATCACAGTAAAAGCTAGAGCCACAGACTAAAAGGCCAACAACAAAGCATGACCTACTTTTTATGAAGAGGATAACTTGTCCTAAAGTTTTTGAAGCTCTCAATTTGAATTTGGCTGCTTTAATTTTCTTGTCTGGAATGGCTTGAGTTTGTTTTTGTGGGGTTTTTTTTTCCATTCATAACTTTATCACATGATTGGAAAGTAAAAATGAAACAATTAAGCACTTCCAGGCAATGTTTTCCTGCTCCAAGGGAAACTGTGGATCAAAGGAGAGCTATTGTGTGAACCCTGTATGGCCATGAGAAGAGACATTCACATCACTGAGGGACACTGGCAGGAGGGGATGTTCTCATCAGAATCCCATTGTAACTCAAGCTCTCCTCATTCTGCAAAATGGTGGAGTCTGACACAAAGAAGTCAGATACTTGATTTCTTTAAAAAAGCAGATTTTTATTAAGAAATGCTTCTGATGGGTAGTAACAGTATTTCCATACAATAAAAATCCACATTTCATACTTGATGGAATTACCGTGTTTCCTAGCTATGAGAATCATACCACTTTGCAGAAATTAACACGCTCCCATGCTGGATATATTTTACTGCTTTAATAGTGTATTGGTGCTTTCAACGTGAGTTCATGAGTAGAGTCTTGATTAATGCAGGACAGTAATGTCTATGGAACCTCTGTGCATATTAGAAATTTCTTGTAAAGGGAGATGTTTATTTCATAATTGTCTTACATAGTTAATGTCTTGATTAGATAATGACTTCTAGTAAACCAACTGAGGGTGTTAAGATTTTCCTCTGACTTATCCAAATCCATTATCTATATTCTTCTTTGAATTTTTTTTATTTTATGTGTAATGAGTGTAATAAGTGCATCAAGTGTATGCAAGTGCTCATGGCATCCAGAAGAGCATGTTGGATCCCTTGGAACTGGAGTTAGGGATGATTGTTAGCTGCCATGTGGGTGCAGGGAACTGAACCCAGGTCCTCTGCAAAAGCAGCCAGTGCTTTTAACCTCTGAGCCATCTTTCCAGCCCCCATGTAGCTGTATTCTTTTCGAAAGCAATTTTTTGAAAATTCTCATTGTCTTCAAAATAGTCTGGATATTGGTCATTACCATATTTTAAGAACTGAAAATCATAATTCTTTTCTGCTCTTGGGTGAGACTCTTTTCAAAGTTGTAAACATGTAATTAAACCTTCCTAGCTCAAAGCTTGATAACAGGTCCTGTGATCTGCTCCCCCTCCCAGACTACGGTGCTATCTACCCACCCCACTAGCCTTAATCATTTAATTCTGTTCTAAATTTCTCAAACTCTGAAGGTAGGACTCCCATTCCTTCCACATACACATGCATTCTAGTGTATTCACATATGGCTGTTACCTGTTATCCTTGTAATAGAATCCCATCATTTGTTTATATGCACTTTTCATATACATTGAGGCTATACTATAAAATGACAAAGATTTTGAAAGAAAAGCAGACATCTAATGAGTTCTTGATGTGTTCCTAATAATGGTTTGATTCCCCCCTTCTTTGTTTCTTTCCTTTTTTCTAAATTACCCATTATCTCAACAGTCCAGATTTGCAATAATACATTCTCTATAGTCACTTTAGATCCGACACTTTTTTCATCTTTCTGAGACAGGGTCTCCCTGTATCCCATTTGCCTGGAACTTGCTATAGAGACCAAGCTGGCCTCAATCTCACAGAGAACTTCCTGCCTCTTCCTCTTGAGTGCTGGAATTAAAGGCGTGTGCCACCACATTCTGCTCTGACACCATTTTTTTTTTTTAACATCCAAAAGTTCATAGTCTGTTTCACATGCTAAAATTCTAATAAATTCTCCCCCACAGCCTCCTTTTTTTGAGACTTAGTATGTAACCCTGCCTGGCCTGGAATGATCTATGTAGACCATGCTGGTCTCAAACTTAGAGATCCACCTGCCTCTGCCTCCTAATTGCTGGGATTAAAGGCATGTGCCACCACACCTGGCCTAAAATTCCCTTTTAAGATAAGTTACTTTAGGGGCTGGAAAGGTGGCTCAGCAGTTAAGAGTACTGTCTACTCTTGCAGAGGACCCAGGTTCGATTCCCACCATCCACATGGCAGCTAACAACCATCTAAAATTTCAGCTCCAGGGGCTCCAAAGCCCTCTTCTGACCTCCATGGGCAGTACACAACATGGGTGCACTTACATACATGCCGGCAATACACTCATGCACATAAAATAAAAATAATAAATAAAATACTTAAAAAAATAAATTACTTAAATAGAAAAAGTTCATATCATCCAAGGGCTATGTTTTTGAATCAGTCTCATTATAACTAAAATGCTGTAGCAAATGCTTTGTTCTTATCTCCTAGCTTGTGTATTTAAAAAAATGTCATCTCTGCCATTAATTGCATACTGAAGCAAAAGGTGAAAATGGACCTTTACTTCATATCTAGTACTAGTGTCACTGTTTTGATTTTTTTTTTTAACTAGGTGACTTTAAAGTCATCAGGTGGATATTGAGAACCTCCTGACTTTGCTTTACTGGGCAAGTGACTGAAGCAAAGGAAAGCCAAAACCTGCTTTTGAGGAATAAAATTTTGATAAAGGAAATGAAAATGTCCACCCGGCAACATAGTGAATAGAGACAACACAGAGGATTTACTTCCATGACACTTGCCTAAGAGACCTGCATTCCTTTAAGTTTTATATAAATAAACCTAAAAACATCGACAGTCAACAGAATCAGGCAGTCACCTTCACTGAAATCCAGTTTGTTTACATCAAATAGCATGTTGGGAAGGGGGAGGAGGGGAGAGAAGAAGACTAGAGAGTTTGAACTAGTTCTGCCAAAGTGATGACTTCCTACCAGATTCTATCAGTGTTTTGACTGGACTAAAACTGTAAATCTGTGGCCAGGCTAAGTTTCTACAACTCGTGATTTAATAAATTACTAGAGTGTTTCTGTTACAAAATAGAATCAACATTTTTTTCCCTCCCAAGACAGCTGCCACACATGAAAAGGGAACAGAAAAATGATTTTACTTCCTTCCTACCCTCAAGCCTAACAGCAAAGTTGCTTTGCAAACTTTTTTCTCCTGAGAGTTTGCAGCTGTTTCTGCCCTTCCTATTGTGCCGGTGTTCAGCTCCGGCTGGGAACACAGGCTACAGCCCCAGCTGTTGGGTGCAAAGTGAATTAGGTATTTCACAGTGGTTATTTGATTAGAAAGAATTATATTGTTTAGCTAACAATAGTGTGTACATGGCAGGGAAGACATTTTTGACATGTTGCTAACTTTTAAACAAGTGTAACTTATCTCATGCAGGTGCAGCTAAGTCTAAATACACTGACATATACATAGATCTGAGTCTAGCTAGATTGTGGAATTATGTCAATAATTGATTTCAAAAACGGTTTTCATTTGTATGATCACTCTCTTGGGGGTGGTTTTGAAGTAAAATACTAAGCAGTGTTTGAGATAGTATAGGTAAACAGTGAGACTGTGTCTTCTTACAAATTGGGGGAGGGAATGTAGGGAAGAAAAAAAACAGTAGGGGAAACCTAGCACAGTGTACAGGGTCCTGTGGGAGAAGGATTCTCATGAAGATCACAGGACTAATCACAGGGATTGCCCACTTTCCCCTTCTGAGCTCCTCAGCTAATCTACATCTAAACAATGCTTGTTTGATTTTTTTTTTTTTTAACATCACTTGTATAAAGCCTTTAATCTCTAAATGAAAGCATTGCTATTAAGAGTTTTGTGCGTGACTGTCAGACCAGGGAGTGTGGGCGGGTGCATCAGGAATAGGGGCAGGGACAGGAGGCCTTTCTAAGACTTGCTTCTAGTTCAGTTCCACAAACATTCATTAGGCAATTGAACCGGTGCCTACCAACAGTGCCCTCTGCCTGGACACAGTCACAGCTGCCATTGGATTCTTTAGTACCATCCTGGTTCTCCCTCCATTCCCTTTTTTCCCTGTCCCATTCTCTGACCTCTGTAGTTAATGCTCATCACCATCTTTCTCTTCTGCACTTAACTGGACTGGTTGGGTCCAGCAAGAAACTTGAAAGATCACTTAATCTTTGCTTGTGGTCATTACTCATAATCATCACTTAAAGGCTCATGCTAGTAATCCATGAACTTGAGAGTCACTTCCAGTAAGAAGATCAGTTCATCTATTGACCTGTCCATGCCTTGGGCTTCTGTGCCACTATCGTGTCCCATCGATGCTTTCCACTGGAAACTGGTGGCATGCATCCCATATAGAATTGCTATTACTTTACAATATGTAGACAAAGATCATCCATTCAACAATGCTGTGAACATTAAGGAAAGATGCAGCTGAATGAAGCTTAAACTCAAGCAGCACTTCTCTTTAGGGATTGTTAATTTTCCCATCTATTGTAAAATGTTCAGACCAAAGCATTATTTTGAAAAAAATATCATTAAAAATGTATACATCACTGACCTAAGTATATTCCTAAAGAATATTAGTGCTAGTCTGTTTCTTGAGAAGAAAATATGTACAGTGAATTCTGAAGTTTCCAAATAAAAGAACTTATTGTAAATCAGAGTTTCAAAGTCATGTCAATAATAAAAAATAAGCCTGGTTCATGCATAGTCTCCTAAAATTAATGTATACATGCTCCTAAAGGACGTAAATTTTGTTCACTATCATATGCATAAAAATTTAAAACATTATATCATATTCGAAACCCTGGGAAAATGTTAAGATTTTGTTTGTTTTGATTTGGGGTAACAAGGAGAAACTGGAACTTATTTCATGGATGCTTCTTAGGAAAAAAAAAAAAAACAGGCATGTAAAATATGAAGTATATAGCAGTTGTTTTTGAACTTGTATCACTTTTAAATTTCAGCAATAGATAAATTCTATGTAAAG